AAGCCATTCTAACGGATTTGATTACTGTTATAAATTAGATAAAGATAATTATATTTCGTTATCGGAGACTTCTAGATAATTGTCAGATGCTCAAATTGAATTATCCATAAGATAATATTCTTCAATTTACTGTTAAAATTGTTTTAACGTTATGATCGAAATCGTTTCCGAGGTCTAAAAACGAAGTTCGCCACAACAATAACCTTACTCGCTTCGTGTAATAGGGGAACTCTATTAGGCGCTATTATAGTACCATGCGCTATTATAGTCCCTTCGATCTATCCCCTTCTCGCCCTTTCTCTCTCTCTCTCTCTCTCTCTCTCTCTCTCTCTCTCTCTCTCTCTCTCTTCATATTCAACTTTGGAATTCCACAGAGCACGTGGCCCAAATCTTTTATGCCAGAGTTTCCAAGGGAACTCGCGCGCCATTTGCTCACATCACGGTTGACATCTTTAACTTGCGAAATGGGATCTTCTGCCTCCCTTTCCTCCTTTGACCCAACGACTATTGGAACGGATAATTGCGAACTACGATTGTTCTTAACGTAGATACGCAGGCAGTTGGAAGGACGTTGGTGCGCAAAACGAATAAGTGGATGAGATTTACGGCTTGCGGGAACAACGAACAACAAAGTTGTCCCGCGAAAGAAACGTCGCTCGAGTTAGTAGAGAATGTCTTCGAATCTCAAATCCGTTCCGTTTGTCTTCTTGCTTACATCTTGTTCCGCAAAGTTGTCTAGCCTATCTTTCAAACACGATTCTTTTTTTTATATTTTACACTCATATGTTAGCAGAGATACTTTTTTACGGAAATATTGCGATATATACAATTATTATAATATGTGGAAGAAGTAACATAAATTAAATAATGATAAATTTAACATATATGCTTAAGTTTCTTTAGAGAGCGGATCTTATCGATCTATATCATCTGTATTGTTATAAAAAATATAAATTTTGTTATATTATTAGCAATCTTTTTAAATTTTTATAATATTATTATCATTATTTTCTTTTACTATAAATTAATGAGGATGTTGTTATAATTATTAAAGAATCCCGTTAAAATATTATATTATTTTTGAAACATTTAAAAATTTTTGTAATGTTTCCTCTCATTTGCAAGCGATTTTTAAATATAATAATTTTCTGTACTATAATTTTCGCTACCACACACCTTTTCTTTATTATGCCGCAACTTCTTACGTTTAACGAGCAGCTCTAATAAGCATATCCTCGTAATAATTAACGCATAGTTATGTTTTCCATGGATCATATCCTCGTTTAATGATCCTTACAAACATCGATAGCGTTTCTGCTTCCGATCCGAGAATCTTCTTTCTACATCGTTCTTCCTCTTGCCAATCTACTTAAGGATGCAGCGGGTTAGGTGGATCTTTTAAATCAGGATTTCTGAGATCGAGCACGTGGCTTACTCGCATCGCGAACAGCGCACTCGAATCTCACAATCGCGTTCTTTGAACTCAACGATCAACGAGACTCACAAGGTACTATTTTCCGGGAAACTCCTGCATAAGAATGTAACGAAATAAAAGATAAAAGAGAGGATATCTATTGTGCTATAACATAAAATCCTTTGTAACTCATTTAATGAAAGTGCATTGTGTAATAATATAAATGCGTAACAATTAAAATATTTCAAATGATCACAAGATAAAGTAGAACGATTACAAGATAGAGTTAAAAATTAAATTAGAGGGATAAGTTAGTTAAGGCAAATGAAGAGATTCGAAGAATGACTTAAAAAAGATAAAATAAAAAGTAGTTATGTAATCATGAATCGTGATATTCAACATTATGGAGGATGAAATGTGAAATTATGTCGGAACTGTCACGATGAAATATGAGATATCAGAACTCTTCGAATTAATTACAAACTTTATGTACGAAGAAAACACAGAAACAGAAAGAAAGAGCAGAAAAGATGCATTTATTATCGTCTCTAGATAGGGACCTCTTTTGAAGTCAGGGGGGAAAAAAGCAATAAGAGTCGTTAATGTTATAAGAGAGGTTTAATTTAGCTTGTATTTAAAATATTAAGCAAAAAACGTATAATATCCAGTCGCGCTTTCCTTAAATTATGGATTTTGTGATCAGAATGAATGTTTGCGTTGTCATGAAAATTTAATGATTACTTTTTTTTCAGCCATTTAATTATCGATATTGTACACCCGATAAACAAGCCGAATAAATTGAAATTCTTTCAAAGGACAAAGTTTGTTTAAAATTCATTAGAGAATAATGTAACGTTATTTACTAATAGTTCCGAAGCTTGTCTTTGGCATTAAAATTCATTACTTTTGAGACACACTGGAACGTAATGTTCTTCTGAAAAGAAACTGCAATGCGATTGATCGAAGAGAGGACAACGAGAGTGCGTAACTAGTCGAAGGGCGTCTCCGAAATCGATCGTTGGCGAATCGCGTGATTCCCACTTCATTCCTTTCAGAGCGATGCCCATTTCCTTCGATCGACCTTCCATCTTGGCTTCGGAAATCTTTCGATCTGTCGGATCTGGGTCGCCAAGTCGTGTTCTATCTCCTCGCTTCTTCACGAGTCGGGCGAGAATGGCGCCCGATTGTCTCAAGCAATTCGGAAACAAACGTAGGTGCGCCGATGATTATACGTCGGCGAAGTTAACGGACGTGGGTTTCGCCTCTTTGAAGAGGAGGGGGTAGACACGACGTGGGACTCGACGATTATCGAAGAACGTGAATGGGTAACACGTGAGCAGTTTGCAAATCTGTACGTCGCCGATTGCGAGACTTCTGTGATTCCACTGACGATTTTTTGCTTCACGCCGAGACGTGTCTGGAGTGGCGAAGTACGCTCTTAATCTAGGTCTCCGATACGTTAATGGCGGCAGACAGGGGTCGATAACGATCGAGAACATGATGGATGCGAATATTTCCCGCTGGTACCCGCTTTAATATTTCTGAGCTAATGTTTCAAAGTGATTTAGGCAAATTATTGTAACAAATGTTTAAGCATATGCGTTTTTACAATATCTATTATTTTATTAATAAAAATAATTATTGATTTTTTTCCTATTTCTTTTAATTATAATAGATAAAAATTATATTTAATATAAAAAAAAATTATTAAAATATATTTAGTTCTCTATTGAAATGAATTTAATTTAATTAATTGAGACGAACAAATTTTATATATGAAAGTTACATAAGAATAAAAATGTGTGAATATATAAGGTAATTGTATAAATATTAAGCTTTTAATGATATATACGATTTTGTTAATAAAATTGTTATTTATAAAAATTAAAATAAGACGAACTTATTTAGAGTCGTACGTGTCAAAAGCTTAATATTTAAGATTCTTATCATTTTGCTAACTGATACATTTTTTTTAATCTACGTACATATTATGAATATTATGACATACTATTCTAAAAAACTAAAATTTTAAAAATGTTAATTTTTCACATTTTCGATGAAAGATATCTCAATATCTCATTTCATCCATCCATCGGTATATATCTTGATATATTTATAGTTCAGTCATGCGCAATCTATGGTCCATTTGTGAATTTTTTGCAGCCCGCTGGCGCCAAGTCATGGCTGCAAATATAAAATCATATTATACCAGCGAAATAAGCATTATGCAATTCGCCAAGATATTATTTCTTTCTGAAAATGACCTTTAAAAAAGGTTGCTGCTCCAGTTTACGTTTTATCTCATTATAATAAATGAGCAAAATCAATCGAAGAGATAAGAATTAAAGAAGATAGAGTCTGCTATCACTTGAAAACATCAATACATACATCGCCTTGATTACAAACTTGCAAATTCGGCTGACAATAACTGCGTGCTTCTCATTTTTATTCCTACCACTCGTGTCAATGAGTGACATTTTTTTTTTTTTTTGAAACGGAACGGATCGGTTAACGAGCTCGCGTATGGTCAGTCCCCAATCAGGCACGATTGTCCCGCAACGTGTAAGTGGCTTGCTTGTGTAAAAGCGACCCCAAGTTTGGCACGGTTGGACACGTGTACGTTTCGCGGGCAACCACGACAGGCGGACGACGGGACATTGCCGCTTGTATTTGGTATATGACCCGACCACCCTCGATGGCCGCCTTTCTTCTCGGGGGGTGAATCGCGTATGCCCGCAGCGCGACCGCAGATGATTGGCGCGCGCCAAGAGCAATCGACCCTCTCGCGAACTTAGGGGTGCCGAAAGGCTTAAGCCACCCTGGGTGGTTGTAAATCGAGTCCGGAGTTTAATAGCGGAATTATTAAAAGTCATGCGAGATGAGAAAAATGGTGCTTCGCACCGTTACTCTGCGTTAATTCACACACATATGAAATATATATTTATATTTATCAATCATGAAAATATACCGAGAAAAAGATGCTTAAAAATTTATTTGTGAGAAATATATTTACTTCACTGAAATGGATTTTTGTTTAAACGAAATAAAATTGTTTTCCTAGCAAGTCATCTATTTTTATTTTTTTTTTACAATTAATGAAATATATTTCACAGGAATGTATATTTCGTCATTACAATCAAATTTTTTTCGTAACGAATAAATATCGAAGAAAACGTCACAAGTAACAATTGCTTCGCGATACTTCGACATTTTTCTCTTGGTATCTTCTTCTATAAAAAAAGTGTTATCGGAATTACATTTGTAATAAAAATGAATGTGCTTTCCTCTTTTATTTTTCTAAAGTTTATAAAAATGACTTACAATGGTTTGCCAGTGGTGCAATTTTTGATCGTAAATTTTACAAAAGGTTTGATTAAAAGGCGCAGCCAAGCGCGCTATCTTCAGCAGAGGACGTTTATTCGCGTCGTATATGAGGCAACTCTTTCCGAGAAGCAGCAGTTTTTATAGCGACCTGGGTACAAAGCCACAGGCCTTTGTAGCCCCTATCCTCTATCGATATTTTTCGGCGGCAAAAAGCGGAGAACGAGACACTCGTTTTGACTTTGGATCTTCTTTTATGTTTCAGAACGACACGATGCAAGTGGTGTGGCAATATCACGTCGAGGAGCCGGTATCAGCGGCCGGTATTTTACCCGATCACGGGGCAGTGCGAGGCTCGAGACCGTTATATTTGGTGCAAAGAGACGCACAGCCCAGACGAAGTTCGCGTAATCAGGAAACGGATCCACCTTTAAAAATCTGGGACATTCTGAACAAGCAGGTGAGTCTATTTTTAATTAACATTTAAATCCTTATATTCACAAGATGTCCTGCGAGATAAAAATCACTATACGATACGACGAATATGATTCAGAGATTCTATCAAGATAAATGCTTAATGAATAAAATTAACGGAAGGAAATATTTCGTTTTACTTCAGATGTAATTAAAAGAGAGAAGGAAAGAGATGAGAGAAAGAGAGCAGTTGGTGCACATTGCATTTATTATGATTTGCGATATTACGACGGCACGTGACAAGAAACAAGAACAAAGTTAATATTCATCCCGACCGCGGAGAAATTCGCGAGTGCGAACAAAGACGATTAAAGAGTTTTAATTAGAGTTCACGAAAGTGGATCTGCCATCGGCGTTGTGATATTGGACTCGATTTGTGCGGAGGGCAGATTCAAACCGGGTTTCATTTAAGTATTTAAGATAACTAAAGTTACTTTATTCAGCCTTCGCTGAAGAATCATCGTCAGCATTGTAACTCGTTATTAACTCAACATTAATTTTAAATCAAGAATATCTAGCTTCGTACTGAAGTTTTCTGAAAACTTGTAATGAAAGTAAAAAGATTCCATGGACTCTCCTCTCTCTCTCTCTTTCTCCGGATTTTTGAAATGTTAAAAACTAATAATAGGTAACACTCAACACGTTAAGGCTGTATTACAACTATTTTATAAGAAAATGAAAAAAAAATTATGAAAAAAATTACAGGTTTTTTTTACTGTATAATTTCAAAGTAATACAAAAAGTTTGTAACGGAAATTTAGAACTCGAATAAAAAATTATTTTAATAAAAAGTCGATGTTTTACAAAAATCATTAAAATAAAATGCGAAAATTTTAATTTAAACTATAAACGTGTATTGTTAACTATAAATATTGATCTTATTAAACTATTTCATATTCATACAATTCATTTTATACTTAAAAAGTATAAATTTTCAATTCCGATCACTTTTTTACCGTACATCTGATAAATCTTTAAGCTTTGAAGATTATAAAGAAATATCGATTATTTCGCAAACCTAAACAGAGAGAAAGTTAAAAATATTCAACGTACAAAACAGGGAGAGAAATTGGTTTCGCACGATCAGCGTTTTAATGTTTGTAGAGACGCGCGGCGAATCATTCGTTTATCCGGATCCGAGACGCGAACAAGCTTTTTCAAAGCTCTCTCGTCATACGGTTTTGTTTCCATCATTCGTCGACACGTGTACAGGTCATGCGTGCGTATGTACGTCGCGTGCGTGAAATGAATGTTCGAACGCATTTAGCTGGGTGCGCGCGCGACTGGATTTTTATCACGCAGCTGAGTTAGAGAGAGAAAGAGAGAGAGAGAGAGATGGAGATGGAGAAAGAGAGAAGGCATTGTATGCCGAATTTATGACGACATAAATCTTAACCGGGTCACATCCGGCAAAAACTATTCGTTCATTAGCGTCGCCGGGTCGTAGATTACGAGGTCGGCGCTATCGCCGAGAATCGGACAATGCTAATTCTACCGTCTGCCCCGGCGCTGTTTATAGTTTATATCGAGACCGGAATCGGGCCACCCTTGCGTATTACGCTCGTTGGCCCGCGAAAAAGTGCAAGATCATTCGCTGGACGTGCTGATAAACGACCCGGAAATGTTGACCATGTAATATCGTTTGAGACAAGCAAGCGCCTAGCTCGAAATGTATTCGCTCGTAAATACATTTCCAGTTTGTCGAATTTTGCCATTTTTCGCGAGATTTTTGTGCCCGTTCGCGTTACCGAGACTTCGTTACAATCGCTGTAGTGGAATAATCGAGATAACAGGTACTTTTTAGCTGCATTTGTACGTTACTTTTCGTCTTCTTTCCTTGTTCCAAGCACATATGTTTCTTTTACTCTAGCAAATAATGTAAAAAGAACTAAAGTAACTGAAAGAAATTTATATATTAATTACAGGGAAATTATTTCGTATTTTAGATATATTTAAATATAATATAATACTTGTGAATGAATGGCGAATATTTTCTAGGTTGTAGAAAATAATAGATGAAATCCAATGAAACGTAAAATATTCCAAGTATTTATCTTACTCATTCACTCGAAATTTTTCTTCAAAATTATTTAATTATGATTATTTATCTTATTTCCAATTTTACCGTCAAAATACTGAAATATCTAAGATATTTTTGAACTTCTTTAAATTATTGATATGTTTTGGCATTGATATTTTTAAAATATTACTAACGTTATATTTCTGTATTTCGATCTGCATTCCATTTTCGAATATCGCGAGAAAGTTTGCTCTTAACTTAGTACGCAAAAGTTACCGAACGGTCGAATAACTTTTGTATCGCGCCACGATGAATATGAATAGAAGAATAGGCACAGAAGAAGACGAGGTTGATGAGAAATGAATTTACATTGCGCCACTCTTAAAATTCTACTGTTTATTAGAAGGATTGTTACCGGTTCGTTAATTTTTATATTCTCGCCGTACATTGCAAATACCATCCGTGTTTCCGTTATAACTTTTTGATAAAACATGTTGAATTTATTTTAACAAATTTAGAATTAAAAATCGAACGTGCACGTGATTTTATTAGTGACATCGCAATAAATTATTGGCAGATTTAGAGATTCGATACGACTTAAGACTTCACGATCATATATGATTTCTCGTAAATGCCTAAAATTTATTTAAAAGGTAGGTTAGATTCTATATAATTTGCTTTTGTTACTAATAATTAATTGATGTGCATTAATTGATAGCAGACTAGCAATAATCACAACAAACCAATTTGTTGTCGCACATTTACAGATTTACCTTGTTAAAGGTACTGATGGCTTATTAAATTAACAAAATCCTTTCTCTCAGTGAATACAGGATTTTTCTTATTTAATTATAAATTGATTCATTGAAGTTTCTGTAATTTATTTCCGAACACTTTACGTCACTTTGAATGTCAACGAAGAAAGATCGTTCCGAAGTGGCGGAGACAGTTCGATGCCTGTTGAAATCGGAAATGCGTTGGTCCCTAAAAATTTCTCCGTCGCCCCGGGGCGTCAGTCAACGTGCTCGACCGCAAAACAATAAACGCGCTCGTCCTTCCCGGTAATCTCGACATCGATAATTTCGCATAAGCGCGTGGGAGAATCCGCCGGCGTGGTTGGAGCGCTTAGGGCCAGGAGTCGATCGTCGCTCGTCGGAAGAGGGAGAGATGCGCGAAAAAGAGAATTGTAATTTTCTCGAACGGTGTATGGTCGTCTATACGCCCCGCGGCGAACAGTTTGAAACGATCCACCAGCACCCAGCCTTTCCCTATATTCCCTTTGGGTCTCCGTATTTACCGAGATACATGGTAACACCGAGCGTGGTTCCATTGATGCGCAAAATCTCGTACTCCGTGAGTAATTCGGTAGAATCTGACTTGTAGATGGGAGATACATACAAGACAAGTAGCACAACTAACACTGGTATGTATAATTCTTATCCTGTTCTCGCGAAGCGAGAAGCGTATAATTAACCAAATCAGTTGCAAAACCGTACAACTGGTATAATTAGTTGCAATAAGGGAATCATGATGTATCATTGAAATAATAAAACAAGTAAAACAGATACACTGAATAAAATACTAAATTTTAACGTTTACTATTCAAAGAAATTAAGATTTAGTAAGTTTTTTTCCAGTGTAAGCGGACATGTATTTTCATTCTAAACTAAAATAAATTCAACATGTTTCAACAAAAATTTATATCAGAAATAATATTCGCAAATGTATGGTGAGAATGTAAAAATTAATGAAACAGTGGCACTCTCTCTCTCTCTCTCTTTCTCTCTGTAACAAACGGTAGAATATTACAGAATCTGAAAAATAGCGCAAGCAAGTTGCTACATCGTATTCCATGAAACCTATGTATATTCGACTTGCGCCGGAGAAATTTTTATAAACTAAATATTTTTCATCTCACCATTTATAAATCTTCTACTCTACATGTCGAAATAATCGCGGTGTACATCGGTGTACAATGAAGCCGGATATAGCTAAGCGGTGTCTACAATATTGCAAAGTACCATTTTGAACAATATGTGTTCGCACGTAACAATACAGCCTATGTATATCGAGCGAAACACGTAAAACAAGTAACGCAACTAACGCCGGTACATGCAGTTCTTATTCTGTTATACGTGCCGAAAAACTCGCAACACGTTCGTGCACAATACAACCGGCCGTGCATGAGAACTGTGCAAAATAGTCGCGTGGCGTGGAAGGTGCCGCTTTGAGACAGGGCGAAATGGGCTCGTATATCACAAAAGCAACTTGCAACCTTGTTACGTAAGTCGCACGCGGCGTCGGAAAATATGGTAATGAATTTCTCGTATATATTTGCGTTTAACTGCTCTTACTCCGTTGTAACAAACCATTAACCTGACGTATGCATCAAGTAGCTAAGTCTCTCGAATTTTCCCCTTTTATACTTCTTACTATAGTATTCATCCCAATAGACGCTCTTTGTATTTATTAAGTGACGATTATTTTTAAAAGAAAGATGAAATGTAATGTATTTTCGAAACAATGAAATTATGATCCGATAGAATAAATATTTATGGCATAAATATATTTTTCCAATAATCTGTTTGATGTTTTACGCTTTGATTATATCTTATAATAACCATATATAAAATATCATTTATATTTTATACATTTAAATAACACATTTTGTAATAATATTTTAATAGTAGTAATATTTTTATTTTGTTTTGTGTTTACTCTTAATTTAAAATTTTACAGTGATTTTGTTATTAAAACTTAGTTTTGAAAACTTAGTAATGAAAATTCTAATTTTTTAAATGGAAATGATCAATTGAAGCTAAAAATATAAGTGCATATAATATCTGCGTATTTCTCCAACTTTGTTCATACTTTTTATGTTGTATTTTACTATATAGTAACTCAGGTAGCAAGCTACGTCATTTTGTCGTCATTTTGACGTCAGCTTGCTACCAGAGAATGCATCCTTACTTCAATTTCAATTTATTCTCTGACACTGAAAATTGACGAACATTATTTAAAAAAATGTCATCTCTACACTCACATTAAAAAGCAGGATTTCAAGGCTACAAGCTTTTCAATATGTTTACAACCATTTCAAATGTTCCCTTGCAACGAATTAATCAACTATTATAAACGTAATATTAATCATTTGATATCGATCAATTTATCATTGAATAATTGCTGATGAAGGACCTGTGTGTTCCGAAACGTTCATTAATTCTATTTTCTTTTCCTACAATAAATTGAAATATTGTTAATAAATTGAAATATATATAAATTGAAATTTTCCTATGAAATGTTGTTAACTTTGTTCTGCTCGATTATAGATCGTTCATTTCTTTGTGTATTTGCTTTGTAAAAAAAAAACGAATAATTTGAATATTGTACTTTACAGTTTAATTGTTTCAAAATGTATGTATCTCTAGTATATATGGTATACAGTTGCGTATATATCAAAATCAAATTTTCCTCTTGATAAAGTGGTACATTGATACATCTCCGTGACATCGATGCTGATACGAAGTATCAATGGTCCCAATGTAGCGGCTCTATCCGTTAGTTTCTCATGGAATTATACTCGCTTAACGAAGTACCATTCGAATTGCTGTGCAGGTTCGTTTACCCATGGGGCAAGACACGCTGCTCTGGTGCCGTGTCCTGAGGATGCCGAGCATTAATCAGAAACACCACGTCGTGAAGGTGAGTTCCTCCAGGTATATAACCCGTTTACGGTAGCTCGCGCGCGCCCGCCGCTCTCCGACTTGATTAAAGCGAAGGTGGATGCTCTTGTAATGCCGAAGAAACTGCACGTCGAGTTTACCGACTCGCCCCTCCTATCTCCCTCCCGTCTTACCATCTCCTCCCTATACGGGAGTTATCTTCTGCCTCGCGTGTTTTCGCGTCTGAAGATGCAACGTCTTCAGGTAGCCGCCCGATAAATATGCCGCGCAAAATGATAATCTAGAAGTTACAGTGTTTTGTACCGAGCGTTTAATCATAGTTAACGATTTCTTTTAGAAATATTCTGATGTACTACTAGAAAGTACTATTAAAAACAATTGTTTTAATTCACAATCTCGCATCCCTTTTGATAGTCTCTTAAATAATAATCTTGATATTATATAAAATTTGAAAAATAAATATTAAATTATTTTCTATTTTTGTCTTTTTAATACATTTAGATTTTTCTTGTATATCCTAATCAAGAATACATTTTGATTGTTCCAAGAATTTTTATTATTCTTACAGTAGTTATGTACATGACATTTAAAATATGTACAATTACTTTTTGTGGCAAACATAAAAAGAATGCTAAAATACTCGCGTGCTTATTGCTCGCTTGATTAGAAAAAGATGTTCGATTTGCGTGCCGAATGCAAGTCGATCGATCAATTCGGCTATGAAACTTCATCATAAATGAACGAATGGGCGGATCTGTATGATGGCAGGATCAATGCGGTAGGCGAGATCATTTCGCCGTTCCGGCCGCCGGTTTTCACTACCAACGATGACAGATCGATGCACGAGATGTCATCGATAAATGCGACAGTGACAAAGCATGCGGTCATAAACCTTGTATTACTGCCGGGTATCGATTCACGTTAGTATAAAGTTTCATTTTGATGCAGAGAGACGCGCACGATTCTCCAAATCGCGTGTTAAAAATCGAAGTTGGACTGGCAGTAAAGCCGCAAGTCAGGCAGTAAAAGTTTGCATATCTACGCTTTCTCGAATTTTATTCAACGCGATATTTTATTGTCAACGGAATCTGTTACGTTAATGTTATCCAATCTATTGTTATGTACACTGTTTACGCAATCAAAACTATAGCGAATAGAAATCCTGTTTATTACCGACTTTATTATATTTTTATATATATTAGATATTAATTCAAAGTTAATTTTTATTATGTCTAAAATGAATCACAGAATGTCGCAAATAATACCTTGTATGTGCGTTAATAGACATTGTACAAATAGAATATAGATCGATGGATATGTGAAGGAATGAAAATGAAATTCACTTCTATCTATATTCGAGAAAAATTAGTTTTAAACCGAAGAAGATTGCAAAATTAAAAAAGGTACCGTAATATTTGAAGTTTTTGATATGAAAGATCGAATAAATGTTATCTTTTTATTTTAAAATTTATGTACTTGCCTATTTCTACTTTCTATTCGGCGTGAATTTTATGTTAGCGAATAATTTGAATAAGATATTTCCTCAAGTAATTCACGTTTAACGCTTCTCGAGTTATATTTTTCAATGTAAGTGTGATTAGTTTTTCATATAAAAATAATATACTATATTGCATTCAAATATTGATTAAACGTGCAATATAGTTTTTATTTTTATACGGAAAATAACACACATAATTAATTTAATTGAAATTAATTTTACACATTTGGATTTGCAGTGAATTCAAGCAAACTACATAGAAAAAAAATGTTCCTGATTACAAATTCTGATTAGCTAAAATTGCATAAGTTACTATAGCTAGGAAATTTGCTAATACATACAAAGGATTTGCTGCTGTAGCTAATATAAAGATGTGATAGCAAAATATGCTTGTCTGTTACAGTCAGTTTATTATTTAGCAACATGAAATTGTCATAGTGATGATCCGTGTAAAAGAAAATTGTTTCTACCACAGCTAAATATAGTTTACTGAAACTGTACTTGCTACTAAATTGTCTGCACAGAAAAACGTTTGCTGCAATGATCAATACATCGACGTAATAGCAAAATGCTTGTCTGTTACAATGATAATATTTAGATTTCGCGTTAATTTTTAATAAAAATTAGACCTCGCACGACGTTAGGTGTCTATATAATATTACACTGAATTTAACTGTCATGTCTAATTTTTAGCTGTGGCTGATCTTTTTTTTCCGTATACGATTACTTGCAGTCTTAAAATACATTTTTACTTAATATTGTCGGAATATTTCTATTTCCTACTGTATTCTATTTCTTATTACTCAGTCCTGTATTCTCGTTTCTATCTTATCCTATTTCAGCTCTTGCTGATGTTTATATCCGCACCGGTATTTCCGAATAGGGTGTTGGCTCGGCTGGTTGATATAGTTCGCCCTATCTAGCGTTGGTCGACCGACCGACACCTGAATCTCGAACTCGATCGGACGTGACCCAACTACGCGATGCGATTGCTCTGTGTTCCTATCACGGGTACAACGACAGGAGGGTGGAAGGGAGGGAGGAGAGACGATTAGCGTTTCGATTGCGATAACTTAAGCGCTTAAAACGCGGACACCCGCCTCCCCCTTCGCATTTTATGGGACTTTTATTAACGGAGCATCAAGGTATTCTGAGGCTAACAATCGAGTGAACTGCCGTTAACCGTGGTATCAGTGGGCACCTTAATTTGTTACTCCTATTGAGAGGTAAACGTGCCGAAACAACTCGTTTTCGCGACGCGAGAAAAACCGTATCGACTTGCGTCGGAGATTGCTCTTTGCCAATTTTGTGCTCAAACAGCTTTCCCCAAACTGTTAGAATCGACGCTTATTAAAGTGCGAAGTGCCTGCCTTCCTTTTTCTGTTACAGCTGATATTCCATTATCCATTCAATTCGATGAATCGATTCAATTCATTGACGTTCGCTTTGTTTTAAATCGAAACGGCGAGTACAAAGTAGTCATTAATCGGATTAATTGCCCGTAAAATGATACGACACGAAAACTTTGAAAGAAATAAAGAATCTTGCAATTTTTTTTCCATTGACGGGATTAAGTTATACGAATAAACGAGACAATCCCACTTGAAGCTCGCGGCTTCTTCAATCAATTCAGGGTCGATTCTACTGCGATAAAAGTGTCAAGATATATACGTTGTTCTTGAGTTATGAACACGTTACGTACACAACCGAAATGCGCTCGACATTAATCCTCGTTACGAGCTTGTACGCCTGTTGTATATTTCAGTATGAACCAGTTATTCAGCCGGGAAGCCACGAATACCTTCACCACATGACCCTGTACGAGTGCCGCGGAGATCAAGCCGAATTGGAATCCGCGGCCGAAACTACCGGGGGTGTCTGTTATGTTCCTGATAAACCCACATTCCAGTGCAACACGATCGCAGCCACTTGGAGTCTCGGTTCTGAGGTATGTCAAAAACTTCTCTTACGTTTGTACGCCGAAGACCTCGACGTGAGGCACTGAGGTGTTTCCATGCTCTGGCAAGTTTTCGGTAGTTTTCACAGAAACTATCTGCTGCACAAAATTTCAGAGATGCACGAAATACAAATTTTTAAATTCATTTATTTTCACTGAACATTACGCGTTTTGTAACGATCATCAGTTAAAATTCTTTAGTCATTTTGCCAATAATGGAATTATCCAGTTGTTTTATCGAAGTCTTCGATTCGGTGTCAGAGAATAAAATGGTTTAATAAATTATTTAATTGAGATATATGGAAAGAATGGTTTTTTGAAATATTTAAAAATTTATTTCCGAAAATAATTTCATTTGGACCGTCAAAATAATTATGTGGCTCAAACTGATTGCTAAAACGTTAACACTTTTTGCAAGTTGTCATCAACACTTAATCGTTTTATATAATTATTTTGATAATTCAACAAAATTATTTTCAGATTTATAGGTAATTAAATTTTTAAATACTAGAACAAAAAAATTTGTTCTTTCCGTATACAAGTTATTTCTTAAAAAAAATGAACAAAAAATATATAAGCGGAATATATTAAATTTATTGTATCTTGTTTGTTTCTCTATAACTTTGATTATCGGAAGTATCCATTGACCCTTCACTATGTAAACTTGACTTTTCGTGAAGTATTGCGCGTGATCGTGCAAAGCACGTCCGGAGTTTCGTGATAATTCCGAGTGCGGTGTAATGTATACCAATGTGAGAACATGAATACCGCAAACTTGTTTCTTCGTGGTTATTGGTAATACGAACATCCTGTGAAATTGCAACCAATCGTAAAACGTGTTGTCTTGTATATAGTTCCCAATAAATGATGAAATAATATTGATAATAACATCAATTGATATAACACGCAGTATTAAATGTAATATTAAATAGTGCACTAAATATTTTTACTTTTATTTTAATTTTTAAAACAATATATGTATATTAATAATATTACTGTATTATATTCAAATATTTATCAGATTATTCAGATTTTCAAGAATAGTGACGATAATACATTTCGTCAATCTACATTTATTTAGTAATATTATTAAATGATTATTATTTTAATCTCAGACAAAAAATAATAAATAAAATTTCCACTGCGGACAATTTGAATGACTACAAACGATAACAAAATAAGAATGACCTCACATACACACACACACACACACACACACACACACACACACGCACATTTGTGTTTGAATATTTAGAATTAAAATAAAAATCTCATTAATAATGCAAACACGTTTAGTGCTAACGAATCGAAATTATTGGGGCTATGTTAATAAATTTCAATTTAAAATGTTCTTGAGGTTAGCGATTATATCGCATGACGATTCCCCGAATTGGGCGGATTATTATCTTGCTCATCATCGGTACCTAAAAATTAAAATTAATCGGGCATAATTCGTGAGTACCATGCACGCCCAATAAGGAAATGAATTCCATGAGCGACAATTTTCATCGAGGGCCCGTTCTGATGGATCGAGGCGTATACCGATTATACCAGACTTGAAACGTCGCTGAGGTAGGGGCGGGATCAGACCGGACCAGATCGGACGAGAACGGGCCCACGATCAGAACCGGACCGGGGTATTCGCTGCCGGTCCTGTTTTTATTTACTGGCAGCTTCTGCATAATCCATCGTTTCCCTCTCTCTCTCTTTTGCCGCACCAGGGCTTTAATTATCCGCCGGAGGCCGGATACGCGCTCAATCCGTACGCGGGGCCGCGCTACTACATGTTGGAGACCCACTACACGAACCCGCAGCTGGACGCCTTCATCAGCGACAGCAGCGGCCTGCGTCTTCTCTACACCGATCGACTGCGCGGCCATGACGCTGGTATCCTCAGTGTTGGCATCGACCCGAACTGGCGGCACATAATACCGCCCGGCCAGCCTGAGGTGGTCTCCGAGGGCCACTGCATCGCCGATTGCACCGGTCAGACGATACCGAACAGCGGCATTAACATGTTCGCCGTGATCATGCACACCCACCAGCTCGGTAGAAAGGTCCGCCTGCGGCAGATCCGCGCCAGCGAAGAGCTGCCGCCGATCGCCGCCGACACCAACTACGATCCCAATTATCAGGAGTATCGGAGGCTTCAGAGACCGGTCAAGGTGTACCCGGTAAGTACAGTCTTAGGATATGACGTACGATGTATTATATTGCTTATATACTACTGAAAGATAGCATTTCCCAATGGAATGGCGATACTTTTTCTATTAAAATAATGAATAATAATTATATTTGAGGAAAAGATATCGAATATTGCGGGCTTAAGTTAAAGATTTTATTTTAATCGTTATATCAAAATCCAATTTATTGGCTAATTTATTAAACTTACTTCATCCATCCTGCGGCGATAGCTAATGCAATTATAAAATATTCCCGATTAACGGAAGAGGATCGCCAACAGACTCGGGGAAAAGAATCTCGAACTCGAATCTATCCGCCAAGATTTTTTCTTTGAAAATAATCCAAGATTATTCTTAAGCGCTTCGCGAGCAACTTACATCTTCTACAGCGATCCTTTAATATATTCTTATTTTTCTGTTCTGTTTCCGCTGTGTTGCACGCCTTTCGTTTACTTGCCGCGAACATACTTCTAGCTGTATTATAACCCATAGCACGTATAGAAAGTTTATGAGCTTGTTATAAAGTTTATTAACGTGCAATAAGTATAGCTTTGATCACGTAAAGTGCCGACATGCTACAGATGCAGGGCATGAACCTGAGTTTAATTGTTTGAACGAGCTTGAACAGGGTGGACTTAAACGCGATTACGTGTTAACATTAAGTAAAAATAATTATGACAGAATTGAATTGAAAAGTGATATCATTGAAAATCACTACAGTAAAGTATTGATATATGCATTACGATTTTGCTATATCAAGCCAAAAATTTCGAAACTTATACATGTTACTGCCATTTTTTTAGTTTTATTGAGTTGATGATATATCGAAAGATTTTAAAATTTTAATATTCTCTGTTCAGCCTAATATTATTCAGATGATTATTTTACGTTATAGGGCGATCATTTAGTCACCGAGTGCACGTACTCGTCTGAATCTCGTACGGCCATTACACTTGGCGGCCTGGGAACGAGAGAAGAAACTTGCCTGGTGTCCGTTCTCTATTATCCTCGTATTGAATTATCTCTTTGTTATTCATTGCCTTCGCTACCGACGGTGCTGCACAGCTTGGGAATCCAGAAATTAATACAGTAAGTAACATTTCCACAAATTTATAGCCGTCAACAAAAAATCGTATGATAAGATTATATAAAGTATCTTCATAATTGAGAAGATGAAAAATCTAGACGAATTTTATATATCTATTTTAAATCTTTCGAAAGACATTTTTAATAGTATTTGAATTAATTGATTAATTGTAACGAATCTAAAATTGATCTCAGACACAAATTGTTTTATGACGATTTCTGTTACATAATTTTAATTGACTCATATTTATCTTTTACTTTATCATCGTTATAATTTCAATTGGCAAATCATTTACGCGAATGAGAGGAAAGTTAATTGTGCAGTTACACGTTGTTGCCAATTTATATAGCTCCATGCAAACGATGATCGCTCGACATTTTGCTCTTTGATCACTCTAAATTGGCTATTAGGAACAGAGCTCGTACATTACAAAAGTGCCAGCCATTATTGACTTAAAAAGTGATAGATATTATCTCGCATCGACGTGCTGGCCATTGCTAAGATACGCAATATTTAACTTATTGTAAATTAACTCTTGATAAAATTTACAAAATTTATCGTTTCTTAATTGTTTTGATGTTTCGATGTCAAAGATTTAATAATATGTATATACATATAATATATAAACAGCTGCAATATTCATTTATAAATGAAAAATTTGTACGTAATATGACTAAATTGAAATATAGGAAAAAAGAAGTGTATGAAAGGAAACATATATGTAAATTATAATCACATACTTTCATATCTGGACTGTTCATTTCACCGCCATGTTTTATACCCCCGATGAAAGTTCCCAATGAGGTGAACCAGGAAGTGGGAGCTTCCTATTTCTTGGTCCCACTCATGTATAAACACATAATATATATTATCATGTAATACAATCAGTTACGTAATATAACACTCATAGACAGTACGCATACATGTGCATAGGTAAATCAAATAAAGACGGCTCCTCAGAACTTTTATCTCTTTATATCACACAAAATAATTGAAGTAAACAGTCCAATTATAAAAATCTGTGTGCGAGAAAAACACGCGACTTTACGAGACTTCGTTTTTGGCGTAGAGCTTCCAGTCCGGTGATGATCCAGGAGCCGCCGAACTTAAAGGGCATGACGCTCGAGGAACGACTAGTCAGCTACGACTGGGAATCAAATTTCCAAAGTTTCCAAGAAGCCACTCGAAGTGGCACGTTTAAGCCGTTATGTGGTAGCAGTAAAGGTGCTCTGCCCGGTACAGAAAACCTCGAGGTGCACTACCCACGCATCCTCAGGCCCTACGAGGAAGCGAGCGTGCCCTGCGCGAAGAAGCCACTGCGGAACAAACTGTCGATGTTGCTGAGCGAGGACGGCGATATTGGTGCGCCCGTTGATCCTGACAGCGACGAGTCGAACGCAGTCGAGCGGGGTCAATTGGTGCGTAGCAAGGTGTCCCGCAGCAGCGACGCGGGTCCCACAGCTGGTAGTTCCTGCGGCCGTACGGTATCGGCGGCTGTGATCCTGGCCGCCGTCACTGTCGTCGCCGGCGCTGCGTTCAGGTGAACGTCGCCGCCGGATGAGTGGTCGTTCGAGTTCACTCGGATCCAGGATCGCCTTGGTGGTCATCCATCGCGATCGAATGGCGGACCGAGCAACAGCAGCAGTAGCAACTGGCGCGTACGTATGTTCGCGTAAGTATATGCCAATCTCAGCGATGCGATACTTAGGCTTAGATAAATGTTATCGTTCTCCGACCGAGCGCATCCGGGAACGCATTCGATTCTCGGGTGATTCGATCAGTGGGCTCTTTTTTTTTCGAAGTGGAGCGACCTTTCCGATATGACTAGTGGCTGGCGCAATCTTCGTCGTATACCATATCGTGTTTCATACTGGATAGATAATAAAAGTTACAGCCATTCAGCCTTCGTTACTGAATAGTGAAATGTTTAAAGTGAGATAATCGAAGCTAACTTGATATATTTAATTTAAGAGTGCTATAAATATTCGAAAAATTTTAGCCAGAATTTAATTTAGCTTAACAGTTTATATTTGCATTTCATTGAAATTTATATTTAAAAGTTGAATTTATTTAATTCTTAAAATAAGCAGCTCGTAAAGACTTAAGCAACATATGCACGCGCGTATCGCGAAGAATTCGCCAGTCTTTAGTCGAGAATGTCAAATTTCTGCGAGAGGAAAAGGATAATTGCAATCACCATTCGATTCGGTGTAGATGAAACCTATATACATATATACATCATAGAAAACGTAGAAGAAATTACCGAATCCACGTTATCTCGACTTATAGGTGTTGAAATAAAATTATAGTAATTTTACAGAGGCATGTCATTGAAAATATCTCATCCACGTACGGTGTTCGATTTTATCAAGAACTTATTAACTCTCTCTCTTTCTTAGTACAGTTACATGGCTGTATTAAATTAAGAAATAAGGAGGATAAAAGTATAAATCTAATAAAATAATTAAAAGTATATATACGTATATATTTCACTATTTTTGAATTAAATTAAATTTAATTAACTTTTTATCTTACAAAGAAATAATTCTTTTGAAGAATCAATCTTGAAAAAGCTCCTTTCACATTTACCTTAAGGCAAATAATTCTATGAAAGTTATTTTCAGAAGAATCTCTACATACAAAAATGTATTAGAGATATGGAATATTATTGTGCTGCACTTATTTAGAATGTTTTTCAAGTTTCAATTGTAGACACTTTTTTTATGTTTAAAGCTTTTTTTTTCGTCGAATCATTAATTTTTAAATTCTGTCCTCGATAGCTTTTAAAAATACACACGATTTTGAAACTCGAAATGACGATAATCAAATATTCATCTTGGCATTTAAAAATCGTTCAGAAAAGAGAGAGTTAATGACACTGGCTGGCCGGAAGCCGGATGTGGATGTGCGGCATATTAATTTTCGCCCGCGGTAAAACCGAGCACGAGAGATCGGATCTATCGTGTTCTCGTTTCGCGATCGGCTTTTCTCTTTCGCGACTTCCGTTCGCGCGTACCATTGTTATATAATAGAGAATTTTTTTGCGAGCAGTACTCTTTGAAACACGGTAAAAGCGGAAGTCCCACGCTCGAAATATCTATAAATTGTCGAGACAGTTTTCACTTGAAATTTATATTATTATTTATATTCGGGACATTTGCATTTACCATATTCGAAGTACGCTGTTGCAGAAAAGTCTATAATGTCCCGCGTGCTCGCATAGAACGACCGTAGCAGGATATTTCTCGGATACGAATACATCGGCTCTGTCGTACTTTAACTGCAGCACATTAGAAATCAATAATGCAAGTTGTGATGGAAATGAATAACACGAGAACTTCCTTGTTCTTTATATACTACACATTCTCAATGCCTCGATATATCGATTCACAGTAATAATCAAAACTTTAAAAAAATTATATGTATTATAAGAAGGGACCTTAAAATAAATAATTCTGTTCTGTGCAAAATTATTTTTAAAATCTTGATAAAATGTAAAGAATAAATGAATTAAACGTATTGAATTATGGACTGCGATTATAATTAATAAATAAGATATTATGAAAAATTATAGTAATATATAAGATCAAGTAATATTTTATTTTTAATAACTTGTAATTAAGAGCTAAACTTTATTGTAGAATGTTGTAAATATTTATGTAATATTCTTAACATTATATGAAAGATAATAATCGAAATCGTACGAGTTCGTTTCATGCAAATGTACTTCCTATCATTGAATACGAAAGTGACTAGTGACTGCACTATTCATTCATACTTTGAATTGATTAGTTCGTCTTGCGATTACTGCCTGATAAAGCTGCCGTTCATTGTTGCCTGTGAGTCATTCTATCATCATCGATTTCGAGACACTGCCTTGGCACTCCCATACAAAGCTACTTTAATTTTAAGTCGCATTAAAATGTATCTATTTCATCTTGATAGGTGGAGTAGGTAATATTTAATAATGAAATACTGTTTGACTTTTTTTATGTACGACTTTTTCGACTGATGATCGAACGAGAAATATCCTAATAAATTTTCGCGATTATTATCGACAGAGCGGAATATTAATTTAAAACTTCTTTCGAGCTAATCGCAAGAGTTTAATTGTTGGCTGTTTATTTGCTGTTCGAGAACCGGGCGAGACGTCGCGATTTCGTGAAAGAACGTTTCGTGAATTTATTTTTTAGGATATGCTTTCTCCGAAGTTTTTCCAGTGCAGTACTTCCCAATTTTATTTATAATCGTTTCATAATCGAATTTGTTTGCTAATCAAATAATTATATAACCGGGGTACATAGAAACCATTATTGAAATTTAAAAAATATAGATGTATACAACTTCCACCAAATTACATGACGTTAAAAACTTGCTTATAAATATTCATTTAGAATATGATGAAAAAATATTATAATTTTTTATCGTATTTTGAATTTTCCTATGGAAGGAAAGATGTAAGATTAAATCAAACGAAGAAGATTAAAATCGAGTGACATCAATATTTTTATGATTTATATTTTAATCCAAATTTCGGTATCAAATTTTTTCATATTAACTTAACAAAAAATTAATTTGGAAAATTAAAATTCTGAAAGTTCTTTTTTGTTTTGCACAAGAAATATATTTCCTGTTATAATAAAAGCTAGTCGTAAAACATTACTTGGAATACGTTTGGGAAACACTGTTTTTGATGACTTCGGTGGTCACGCAATAAATATGTGCGCGCTTCACTACGTCGTGCTCGCACGGTTCTCGCCAAAGTCTGTATATTTTGTTAACTAGACTGTAGCGATAAAGGTGCATTTTTTAAAGAGATTGTATAAGCATTGGTTGATTTGCACGCGATGGTAATTTCGTGCGAGAATCTAACAATGTCTCGCTATCAGAATCTTATTTCGCAATCTCTTTCGTTGAAGCGTTTTACGAAGGGGGGTGTGTTACTTAACCAACGTTTATATATAAATATATAAATAGATACACTATATATATTATATTATACATACCCGACGACTCTTTGTAACATTCTGTACAGTTTATTACGTGTAACGTTATTCACGCGCGCTTGTCAACGCCCGTTGTCGTATATGGGCGATTATTTATTTTTTATTTAATGTGTATAAAGCGATATAACTTGCGACTTGACACATCTCTCATTGTTGCGTACACATACAACACACGTACACAGACACGCATTTTCGAGATTTTGAACAAATCTGATACACCCAGGGACACTCGATTTTCCAATAAATTGTGTGATTCTTATTAATTGTATATTCGTATTAGGGATATTGAAGAGTAATCGATATGCGCTTGAATGCACGATAATTTATGATTGCTCAACGTATAAGCTAAGTTATGATTTATAGATTAAATGTAAATCTATATAATTGAACGAATTATGATTTTGTAAGGTATTTTTTTAAACGAAGTTATTTGATTTGACCAAAGTTCTGTTTGTCTTCAGTTGATTGATTAATTAATATAATTACTATTACTATTATGAAATTGATGTTATTATTAGCTGCATTCTTCAATCAGTTGTACGAAACAAATTAATATAGATGACGTGCCTAGTAAACTCGTGAACATTCTCAAGGGCCAAACGAACGTTTTGAACGATACGATCTGCATGGTGATTTGCATTCGATTCGAAAGCTTCTCCTGATAATTTCCATTTAAATGACTCTCGACTCGGATTTGTTCTTTATTCTACCTCATTTCGAAATCAAACGAAACGGAAGTGTCCCTAAACACGCGCTGTTACCGATTTCAATTTTGCACCGATATTAACAGAAAAAGAAAAGGAGAAGTTTGTTGGACGGAGAGTTTTGTTGGCTAAAATCAACTTGAAATTTTTTCATCGAGTTCACATTTTTCGGTGTTAGATCGAAAAATTATCTCCTCCCTCCCTTCTAGTATAGCGAAAATCTCAAAGTAGGCGCGACTAATCGGTATCGGACACATAGGTACGTTTTACAATTTAATACTAACTGGTAATTCGTAAATGTCATAGGAGAATCTGTGTGTGTAGAGAAGACCTTAGGGCAATCGAATGGCCATATCTTAACCCTTAAGCAGTCGGGATTCTCGAGTCGATGCCTCGTAATATCCATTAGTCATAGCGTAACACATTTCTGCAAGCAAAAAAAAAAAATCGAACTTGTGAGAAAAAGAATCAATTAAAATGATGTTTTCGAGATACATAATAAATGATTTTATAAACGTTACTTTTTATACATAATTTTTTTGAAAATTATATTATAATTTATATTACAAGAAAGACGGACTCCGATCGTCATCGACTACTTAAGGGTGACAAGCAGCGCGAAAGTCATTCGTTCGTAACCACGCTATACTTGTCGAATCGAAATTGCTGAGAACCGCAGTATACATGGCTTTACAAATATTTTGTTCCGATTGGACCCGGTTCAATGGCATGAATGCGGGGAACTATATCCTGGCGATAGAAAGCGATCGGCATTGCCGGACGATAAATCCGCGTATGACGTCGCCTCCTAACTGTGCTCGATGGTACGTACTGTACGTAGTTGTTCGGCGAACTATTTTCGATATCTCGCAGTACGTCGGACAATTATTACGCAAAAGAGACCACCCCACCGCAGCATTTTTTTTCCCCGATAACCCGTTATCCGCAAGCAGGCGAATTTCTACTGCAGAATTACTAAATATTTCCGAGAAATTTATTCGTTTAAAATGGAGCGCTCGTATCGACGATAAGTTTGTATAGAATATATCGCGATTAAAGCGTTTTGCCTGAGAATATGAATGCGAAAAAAGTTTTTCCTAGGAATCACAAATGTGGATTTCAAATTTTCTTTTAAAGTAAGATATTTTTTAAATGAATAAATCATTCGTGGAAAGATTAAGTATCAACTATTGATGGGATCTCCGACTGAATTATTATCTGACACATCGATCGACACAGTTTTCTCGATGGAGATCC